CATCACAGGAATAAATGACATTTTAAAATATATTAAAATAAAAAACAGTTACTATTTCACAATATTTCTTGGTGTGAATAAGAGACCTCTTTCAAAAACATGTAAAAATCTTACAGACAGTATATAATGAACAGTTCAACAAAGTTGAAGTTTTTAAAGTTAGAGCACATTTTCACATTTCACATTGTTGTAGAATAAACTCGATAGTGTTGATGTTGATACATTTGCTTGGGGCTTGCAAAGACAATTTAAGTTGTTCAAGACGAACTTGAAACAATCATGTCATATCTATAATTTCAGTTGTGTAATAAACAGTGCTTGAACTTACAGACCATGTCTGTGGTTAATCACACTGAATCACATTTTATTACAATAAACGTTTCTGTCCTATATGTCTTCCAGAGGTGACGGAGGAAGAGGAGCAGCTGAAAGCCCGTTGTGAGGAGGTGGAGGAGCATCTGCAGGAGCAGCAGCAGATCCAGAGTGATCTGCGATGGGAGCTGAGTCAGAAGTCCGTCCTAGTGGGTGCTCTCCGCGCCAGTCTGAAGGAAAAGGAGCGCCATTTCCTGGAGGAATTAAAACACCGCAGCCACAGGACCACTGTGCTCAACACCGAGCTGCAGAAGCAGACAGAGGCGGCTGCGTACCTGTCCTTCCAGCTGCATTCAGCCAAGCAGAAACTCCATCAGCAGAGGCAGCAGCAGCAGCACAGGAGGCCTGCCCCGTCTGGTGTGGACAAGCCTCCCGTCCACCCTTCGCCTCAGGCCAGTGCCAGCAGCCCGACCACCATCAAACCCAAACGACGGAGCTCGAGCCGGTCTTCCTCGCACCTCCACACCGAACGTGCCAGGGAGTGTGTGCCGCGCGAGAGGGTGACGGGCCCCGAGGAGCCTATGGCCATGCCTGACCCCGCCCTCTTCTTCTACCCCTACAGACACAGATCCCGAATCCGCCCACCACACAGACATGCCCTGCAGGAGGCGGAGGGGGAGGAGTCAGAGGAGCTCGATCAGGGAGCTTCTGTAAGCAGACTGGCAACAACAGTAGCTAAAGCCACTGCGACCACTGTGTCCACCACAGAGAACAACGTTGAATGAGCGTTTCTTTTACAGTTCAACCTGCTTGTTTTTATGATATTTCAACCTTAATTGCACCTTGAGCCCCTTGGGAGAACCAGTGACAGAAATGTTTATATTTGCAATACAGTTTGCTTTTTTTACAGTTTGCTCATGCAGTGATTATTAAACTGAGGAGAGATTTTTGCTTACGTTCTTGTTGAACCAAAATCGACTCGTGTTTATGTTGCTGTATAGCATTTTTGTAATCAAAAATGACCCTGAGGGCCTCAATACATGAACATGAAGTGCTTCATAAGGCCTGTTTTATGCGTCCTGTAGTTTGTTCTATGGCTTTATTAACAGGTTACAGCATTCACACTGACATTTGTGCCAAATGAAGGTGTAAATGCAATTTAGTTTAGATCCGGATTCGAAACATGTTCATGCCAGATCACACAGCACAAAACACATTTAAAATGCAAGATATATTTATTGACACAATATTTAGCAGTATAGGCATTTATAAAACAGCATAATAATGTTTTTTGTATAAAAGATGTCTGGCATTGTTTATGTTCAGTACATCTAAATCAGAACAGCTACAATTCAAAGGTGTTTTGGTTTCATACAAATTACCATTTGGATGTAAATGCAGTCACATCTTCATTTAAAGTAATAATACTCAATTGCACACTACCAATAACCATTTCAAATGTTTTAGGCTTTATTAAAAGAAAAATGCAATGTAGTAACCCAGAAATCACTTTTCTAGCTGCCGAAGTGCTGTCAGTGTGAAATCACGACACTGCTGTTTACTTGCTGCAGACTCAGGATGTGCATAACAGGCTGAAGTCAGTGTCCTTGTGAGCTTGCTACTGCTTGAACTTGAGTCTTTGTTCAGCTGTTGTTGTTTTTAATTTGTGTGCCCTTTTTGTGAAATAGCTCATCTCAGATATTTCTGAATGATCAGGTTGTCTGTCTGGTGTCACCACAAGTGCACTCTTTCAGCCCTCCAGATGCAATGGAGATTTTATCACCTAAATACTCGTTTAATCAGATAGAGAAATCCTATGTGAATGAGATCTATACAGCCTGAACCAGCTTTATCTGCTGTATAGTGTGTTTATGTGTGGGCTTGTTGATTAGAAGAGAGTGGGCTCAAGGGTCAACGCGCCATTGTTCTGCCATCATTAAATGAGCCAGTGATGCCCAAAGGACTGATTAGTTTTAAGCTGCTTATGCTGTAATGTTTTAGTCTGATGTTGCAGATAACATGTTTGCATATGTGCCATTAGAATCAGAATGCTGTTTGTTTTATAATTCTATGTGGCCAGGTATGTGTGCATATACCAGGAGCTATGGTGATTTGATGACTAATAGCAATGTGATACATATCGCAAACATATTAAGTGTTTGTATCGCTAAAAGCTTGTAAATTCATAATATGCAAGATTAGAAGTGGTGTGGTACAAATCAAGGCTTAACTCCTGGTCTTTGATGTGTAACTAAGAGAGGGTTAGTTCATGGAAATGGATTGGATGGGAGTGAAAGGCAACATTACCTTTCTTGACAACTAACAGACAAGTTTAAAGGATAGTTCTCTCAAAAATGAAAATGTGCTGATATTGTTCTCAAACTCAGGCCATCCAAGATGTAGATGAGTTTGTTTCTTCATCCGAACGGATTTGGAGAAATTTAGCATTACATCACTTGCTCACCAAT